AGTCCCTTTCCTTCCTGTATTGGTTAAAATGGTTACCTAGAATTTAGAAGAGCTTGCAAGTCCTTTAGCCATGGAATTGCACTGGGAGAATTTAGACCATCCAGATTCTCAGCACTTTTATAGGATTGTGTTGTTGGTGAAAAGTTGGAGGAAGTGCCTTGATCACCTGGGGGAATGACAGAAACAAAACTATCAAACGTATAATGTAAAGCGTTATAGCAGTGCTTGGGAGCAGAAACTGTCTAATGCTTGAATGTGTGTAACACAAATACACACAAACACACAGAATTGTTTTGTCAGGTGCTTTGGGGGATTTTTTGATTGAAAAATAAGATAATGCTTTAAACAAATAAATAAATACATATTGGCTGAGTAGTTTTCTACTAGTGAGTAGACTTAGCTGCCATAACTAAAGATGAAGCAGGCATGTAAGCAGAGAGGACAAAAAGACCAGAACCTTGTCTAAAAGATTTTTTGGGGGAGGTAAATAAGGAGGAAACAAATTATGATGGAAACAAAAGAAAAAAATGTCACCTGAGCCAGACAAAGGAAGTTGGCCCTGAGAACATGGAATCCCATCAACAGCTATCAGACTTTAAAGGTAAGAGTAGCTGCCAGTCTTGTGAATCAACAAAGCAAGGACTTCTGGGGATAAAAGGGGTCCTGAAGCCCACCCACTCTTTGGATCCAGACTTGGTGGCTTCCATCCCACTAGCTAGGGCCTGGCAGTCTAGTTGAGAAATACTTGGGTAAATGTGGATGAGTGTGTGCGCACGTGAGAAAGAGCAAATTTACATTGTAACCAGTAAAGTTTCCTGTAACTTTAAATTCACTGGGTCTCTTTGTACTCCAAAGAACCCATTAGTAATATTAAAAGGGATTTGTTCCATGTCAAAGTAAGATGGGGCAGACATTCTCCCTCAACTTTTCCCATTTGCATGGCTGATTGCTGGGACTTTAATATTATCCATGCTGTATTCCCCATAAATGTTCAATTGCTTATTATGTTTGCCTTTATACCACTTGTCTCATATATTAGTGAACAGATATTTGATTATTTATTGGTTATAATTTCATTTTGCACGTCTGGAATGCATGAGCCTGTTTAATAATGTAGAGTGTACAAATGACAGAAGAATTGCTGTTCAGGCAGACTCCAGTTCCTAATACAAGATTATAACTCTCATCTCCATATTCACTGGATATTATTTAAAGATATATAGTTAAAATACATTTTAGGAGGACAAATGAGGAATAAGGAAGCTATATTAATAAATCCTCGTTCCCAGACAATTGGAAGGTGCAGCTAGGATGAAGTTGGCTTTCTCCCACTCTCTGTCTTCAGTCTTTCCAAGCATCACACAAAGTTTCTAAAGCATCCATTCAGACTTTACCCCCTTCTTTATGTGGCTTCTGCTTAGCTCACTACACTTTGATCTATGTGGCAAAACCTATCCACCCACCACATTAGAGCAGCTTAGTTGTCATAAAAGTATTAGGAGACCAAATTCTCCAGTTAACATTTCTCAGGTTGAAAGTTAAGAAAGGTTTCTACCAGTAAGAACAGCTTGATGGGGGACCAATAACTGAAGAATGTGACCATTTGTCTTCATTAGATGTTTTCATGAAGGTTCTGGACATCCATCTATTAAAGATCCTGTACTTTGGGTCCATGCACTGAGTGGGGAATTGTATTTTATAGCCTCAATCATCTCCTCCATTCTATGTTATGCTTGTGTAATTCTTTGTTACCACCCATATTTTTCTCACAGTTTATTATATTATTTTGGTCTAGTTAATACAATAATGTGCCACCTTAATGGTTTATTTAAATGGATCTTTCCATTGATTGATAAGTGTTGGATTGGAGGTACAGTTTCTTGAAATTTTTCATACACATTATATAGTTCTATAATTCAATATAAAAGCTAATTTAAAGCTAACTTAAAAAACAGAGTTGAATGTTCCAAACAAATAATATTGAAGAGGACTTTTTGTCCCACCTTTTTCATTACAGTGTAAACACACTCTACCGTAACAATGAAATATTGAAGTTCAGCACCATTTTAAGTATGTGAATCAAACATTTAATCAGATTAAAAAAAAAACAAACTCATATGTGCAGATGGACCTAGAAATGATGTTAGGGATGCTAAATTCAGGAATTAGTGATCAGTTTACCCAATGGCGGCTATGTTTGTACAAACTGTAAAATATCTCAATTTTAATATCCAGTGAGGAAGATATGTCATCATGTTAAGTATGTACTTGTTTTATTATTTAGCAAGCTTATATATCACCCCTCCCATACAATAGATTCCCATTATTCTTATTCATAATACTTTTAACCTACCTTTTACCATCTAAATTTCTGAAAATAAA